GGGTTTAGGGTTTAGGGTAGGTGTTTTTTGGGGAGGGGATCGAGGTTCGGGGGGTTTTCTTAAGGGTTTAGGGTTTAGAATGTCTTATTTCGGCTTTCGGATTGTGGGTTTTGTTTAGGGGCGGTTGGGGTTTGAGGAAGAAGGGTTTTTTGGAGTTGTTAGCCCTTGTGTTGTATGGTTTCACGATCCAGGGCTTCAGGGTTTATGGGCTTTGGGGTTTGGGCTTCACGGGTTCAGGATTTGGGGAAGGAGGTGGTGGCACGTGCGGTTGGTGTGCTGCTTTCCAGGGTGTCGCAAATCTATAGGAGTTAACTCAACACTTGAAGGTTCTTGACGAAGTTCTACGAAAGGCGGTAGTATAGGAGCTTGAATCAATTGTGCTACGATTCCTCTGCGTTCCCTAGTGCTGTTGTAGTACAGAAATCACAGCCGTTGTTGGTCCTAGTCTAACTCTTCAGGCTTCTGGTATTGCTCAGGGTAGCTTTGGTTCTACGGACGGAGTTTCCTCAACGCAAGAACCTCTAAGTAGGACTTCGTCGAGATGAAGTATAGCTTTTGTTTTTGGGTTGGTAACGACGGGCTCCGGTTGCAGCGTCTAACGAGGCTTCGAAGCTAAAAGGTGTGGGCAAGGGTTTGCAAGGTTTTTGGGATTGAGGGCGGGCCCTTGCCAGACTAGCACTGAACAGCCTCGCACAGACCTCACAAACCCTCTGTGCCCCGCAGGATATATGTCGCCAAGATTGTCTTCAGTCAGTTCTTTGAGACTGTCATGGGCTTGATCATTGTGTTCAACATAGGCCTCATCATGTACGAAGCCGATCTGGATGCTCGTTGTTATCCAGGGTGGGTCAACAACTACGACCAGTGCCCATATAGAAGCGATGCGATTGACTGGCTGAATACTGTGAACATCTCGCTGCTCATCGCCTACACTGCTGAGTGTTTCGTGCGGTTCTTCGTTGAGCACCTCACCTTTTTCTGCAATCGATGGAACATGCTTCTCGGCAGGAACATGTCAACCGAAATCCTCAAGTCTGAACCATTGTTGGTGAGTCTACTCCAAGCCCTAAGCCCCACCCTCAACTCGAAACCAAACCCAAACAACCCTGAACACTGAACCCCGAACCATAACACCCCAAGAAACCTAACACAGTGAGAAACCCCAAACCCCAAACCCCACAACAGCGCCGAAGCTGTAGTCCGAGATATTTCACCCACTCCCGGGCACGAACGCCCCGAGTCGGCTGTGAGCATTTTGTTTTAACACTGGTCCGCATTGTGTTCTACAGGATAAACATCTAAAGCAAAGAAGATATTTGTTTGTACAGCGTATGTATGTATATAGATATATATATATATACACATGCATATACCTTTCATGTGTACGTATTTACTTGCCCATTTACTTATTTACTGGTTTACTGATTGTTTTGCATATGTGTTTGTCTGTCTGTTTGTGCGTATGTTCTTACTGGCAGTTCTTTGTGTATTCACTCATTCATATACTTATATATGGTTATATGGTACATGATATGGTATCTTTGCATAAACATATAGGTAGATAGGTAGATAGATACATGGGTCGATAGATAGATGGACGGGTAGACATATAGATAGATGGACAGATAGACAAGTAGTCAGATAGATAGATGTTGCTGGCTATCTATATGAATGTATGTATAGACAGTGTGAGAGAGTGCCTGCAGAAGCTGCTAGAAGGGGGAGGTCCTTGCTTCACTCCGCGCGACGAGCCGGTAAGTTCAAAGAGTTCAGATACTCGTCAGCCGGTGAAGGTCCATACCTTCAAAGCGTGAACACCGCCAGGCTAGAACCACGAGCCCAGCGCCACAGCCGCTGGTACTAACACTGCCACTTTCACTACTGTGCCTTTATCGCTAACACTACTGCTACCACGACCACGACCACTAACACGACCAATGCCGCGACGACAATCCTCCACCACCAAGAAAGTTATCAACAGCAACGACAGCGATAGCAACAGCTAGACCACGACAACAACATCAGCAACAACCACATCCGCATCCCGACATATATACATATATATATATACACACACACACACGTACACCCACACAAGGCGAGCACCCAGAACCACCATCACCACTGCCGCCACCACCACCACCACCGCCACCACCGCCACCACCACCACCACCATCACCACCACGGCGCCGACGACGACGACGACGACGACGACGGCGCCAAGGACGACGACGACTGCTGCAGGGGCGACTCGTGCTACTGCTGTAGGACAACGCCTTCGCCGATGCAAGATGATGACGTGGCTTACAGCAAGACTCTAGCACCCAACAGCTACAGCCAGCCTGTTTCAAGTCCTACAGGACCCTTGAACGTGGCTTACCGTGGTGTTAAAGTGTTGAGCAGGTTTGTAATGGCTTTGGGGTTGCTTGAAAAGTCAGTTTGAAAAGGACAGTTGGGAGGAGATCCCGGCCAAAAGAATTTGCCCAGGGACATGGATATTTTGGGGTGGGTGATTTTATATATAGACAACTACCATAGTATGCCAAAAGCCGAGGATTGATTTGACCACTGTGCTGCTGGGGTGGGCCAGCGTACTGCTGCTTGGATGTCTAGCTCCGATCTGAACCCGAATCCGAAACGCCACCAAATCAAACCAAGTAAGCTTCACCCTTTTCCCTAAAACCCTAAACCCTATGGGCTGGTTGCTCGGATTGCATGCTAATATGTGTAGAAGTACGCGACGCAGTCAGTAAGCAGCTTGTAAGTACTATCTGGGATGTTCGTCAAGACTTAGAGCAGGGATTTCGGGTATCTAGAACTACTAGTCTATCATTCTTCAGCTCTTAGCCAAAGCAGTAATTATGTTAATTACGTGTCGCCCAGACAAAACTCGAGAGAGCAATAAGCACAACCCTAAGCAGGCAGCCCCCGACAACACAACAACTATCATTCCGCGCTTTACAAGTTTAGGGCTTTTTGGGGCTTAGGGTTAGGTCTCAGGACTACTCGGATTTTGGGCTTTTGCGGTTTAGGTTGTAGGGCCAAATAAAAGGTTTACGTTTTGGGGTCTACGGCTTACCCAGATCACCAGAGTAGTGTCCCGAATCGATGGCACAAACAAGCTGGCGGTGATATTGGGCTTCCCCCGTGAGATTTTAGGAATTCCAGCTTCAAGTGCCTTGGGCACTGAGCCCTAAAGGCCCTGAACCTCGGCCTCAAATCTAAGCCCTGAACCCCACGGTAGGGTTTAGTTGGTCTACATGAGTTGCTATTTGATCACCCAGGTGCTGTTTTCTGTGAAAGTGGAGACAGACACCCGCTTTTGCCACAAAGCTGCGAAGCAAACCACAAGACAGCTAGCTGTTGAGAAACACCCCAAAACCCTGCAGCCCTTTCTCAGAGACTTTGCAGGCATGTTGACTACGAAGCTTAGAGTACCATCGCAGCCCAGAAACATCCTTGCCCATGCCGATGCATAGGGCCCTCGACATGTCAGCATGGAAATGTCCCAACCCACAAACACCACACATAGGCACTCCAAAGCCCTTGTATCATCTTGCAAACCTGTACCCTGGGCTTCGAAACCGAATGCCACTAAGGCTAGCCGGCGTGATCAACCTTAGTCTGCTCCGACTTTCTCGTCTCATCCGGGTGCTCAGAGCCATCCGAGCTTCTCGCCTTTCTTCATGGGACTTACCCTACTTGGAGGATCATGGGACTTAGTAAGTAAGCTTACAAGTCCCCTAAATGGGGTTTTAGTAAGTAAGGTTATAAGTGCCCGAAATGGGGTTATATCATGGGGGTCTACACTCCCCCGGTCCAAGTTATGAGTATAGTTACCATGAGTTATAACCCTACTTACTAGGTCCCATGATCCTTTACGTAGATGTTCCTATTGCGACTACAACGACTACGACTGCTACACCACCACCACTGCTGCTATCACTATCAGTACCACCAGTACCATGAGCCCTGCGACTGCCACGACTACCAACGGCCGCTACAGGCGTGCTTTGCCAAAGGTCCATGTACGACGCTAACTATTTACTGTAAGTGTATGTCCCACGTAAAATCTAATAATGCACGGACCTGTTGGGGCGAGGGGATGAAGCTTCTCGGGTGGTCTGTCGCTGTGTGAGGCCTCAACGAGGCGTCTTGGGGATTTACATCAACCGAAGTCCTACAGTGTGCTGTTGCATCGAGAGTCCATAGCGTGCGATAGGACATCAGGGTGTTAATAAATATACCTTCACTGTTTGGGGCTCTTCGCTTTTTCGGGGTAGGCACTGAACCCGAAACCCCAAACCCTGAACCTAACCCCTACACAGCGCCTTGTCCCCAAGCCTCAGAGTGGAGAACTCTGTGCGCATCAAGACAATGCAGCTCGGGAGCTTGCGGCGTCCCCTTCAGGGTTCGTTTTACATTATGTCAATGAAGAAGGCAAGGATGCCGGGAACGATCATGATGTGTTTGGTGTTGTTGCGTTGCTGGCTTCTGCTTCTGAGGTGATGATGATGGTGATGATGTGATGATGATGATGATGGTGATGATGTGATGATGATGATGATAATGATGATGATGATGACGATGACGACGATGATGACGATGATGACGATGACAATGATGATGGTGATGGTGATGATTGCGATGCCGAAGTGGTGATGATGAGGATGAGAATGGTTATTATTAGTATTATGATACGATGCGGCTGCTGATGATGGTGATTATGAAGGTGAACATGATGATGCTGTTGATGATGATGGTGATCATGATGACGTTCATGGTGGGAGGACCTACAATGCTGAGTTGTGTGGCCAGACAGTTGGCCATGATAGTGACATTTCGTCTGGATCTGGTGATGTGATGTGTGCTGGTGATGACGATCCTGGTCATCGTCATTTTCGTGGTGGTGATGAAGCAAAAGATGTCAGCGATGCCGAAAGGGTCATAGGCATAAGTCGGGCTTGTATAAGCCTGATGCTGTAAAACAGACGAGGACCAAGAGGAGGAATGCTACGATAGCTTAACTTCATCACCATGGCGGATATTGGCGCCCTTGTGGCTTCGTGCTCCATTATCGTCATTGTCTGACCGCCATGTTGTCGCCAGGAGTGTAATGCGATTGTTGTTGCTTTTGCTGCGATACCCTAAACCCTAAACCCCTAGTCATTCAGGTGCTCATATCGGTCCCCGAGTTTTATCTGCTGGTCACTGGACTCTTCTCCGCCATCAAGGCGATTCTCTTTGGCATGCTCCTGCTGCTGGTGTGCCCCGGAGTCAAGTACCACAGCCTTCGCAAAGCTCCCTGCGACCTCAACCCTAGGCTCCATAGAGTTCAGGGTTCAGGGTTTAGGGTTGAGGGTTCAGGATTTAGGGTTTAGGGTTCAGGGTTTAGGGTTCTGGGTTTAGGGCTTCGCACTCTGCTCCGTCAAATCCTGTAGGACGTCTTCGCTCATTGGGCAGTCCAGTCAAGGTCCACGTTATAATGCAGAGCGGAACTGCGTGACCTTTCCGAGCTTCCATCCAGGAGTGAGGTGTTTACCCCTAAACCCCAAATTCCAAACCCTGGACCCTACGCCCACGTATAAAGCCCCAGAGGCTGCAAATCCCGTTATTTCGGGGTAATGCTGGCGTGGGGTCGAAGGCTACGCGTCGATAGATCCGTTTTGGGGTGTTTGAGACTGTTCCGCCTTCCCCTCAGTTTAGACAGCATTCCGTCATCCAGAACATGAGCCCGAATGTGATTAAGGCCTATTCCTGTATTCAGGCTTCTTCTTGTATCTTCGGGTGAAGTTGACAACGCTTCAGGGCGCAGGGGGTTCGGAGCTCTGGTTGAGGCCGGGCCCGAACAAGGGGCTAAAAGGTTTGGGGCTCCTCGTATCCGGTTTCAGCACGTGCCCACCGCATGTGGTGTCTGGTAGTTTCAAAGGCAAGGCCGCAACATCGACCATCACTTTCTTTGCGACATTACCCAGCACAAGGAGAGCAACAAAAAGAGGCACCCATGTGTTGAGAAGCTCCTTGTACCAAAGCAACAGGCCCTTCATGTACATACTGAGTCGGGAGGATCCTCGTTATGTCTGGACCCTTTGGCTTCCTCGTCATCTCCTTGTTGTTCCTTCCATAGCCCTCTTCAAGCACACTTTGCACCGGGTTTCAGGAGCCATCTCGACTCGGTGTTTGCGGGGTTTTCTGACATGAGGCTTCGAAAGACATCTGTATTTTCTTAGGCTTCCTTTAAGGTTCCTTAAAGGGACCCTAAACCCTGAACGCCCTAAAACTTAAGGGTTCAGGATTTGGAATTTGAGGTTGAGTATCTGCAGTTCGGGTGGGGGATACCCTAAAGACCAAACCTTAAACAGTTCTCGTACACTTGTTGCACCCGCTTTGCTTCAGAGCACGTTGTTCATGCAAGCAGTACTCTCGTCTAAGCCTTCAGCAAGCATATTGTTCATGCAAGCTGTACTCATGCCTAAGCCTCCAACTAAGCCAAGCGCACATGCGATGTGCCAGCTACAGAACACATCGCCTTCAAATCGACGAATCTACATATGGCGTTTGCATGTTTGCACCCCAACCAACCCGAAATCCTTAATCCTGAACACCTCAAACTAACTTCCACATTCGGCAAGAAACTGTCATCCCTGTACAAGCTGAGGTGCTTAGTTTTCTGGGCCGTCATCGCCGTGGAGATGTTCCATCCCCATGTTTCCGGTCGCCTGCTTGAGTTCGTTGGGGGTTTAGGGTTTAGGCAGCGTTGAAGCTGCAAGTCTATAAACCGAGCATCTGCGAGCCGGACGCTCAGGACCATGGTGCCACAGGAGCCTTAAACCCCCAAGCGACCTCCAATATAGGGGCCGTGATATTTATATGTAGTAGGGTTTTTGAGGAGGAGGAAGAAGAAGAGGAGGAGGATGAGGAGTGTGATATGTTACTAATTATTCCGACCTCTATACTAGGAGTTCAAGACACCACTGATGCCGACGGATCATGTTGTTCTTTCCGATTCTAGCGGAGTTTAGGGCTTAGGTTTCGGTCCGTTCTTCAGTCCTTGGTTCTAAAACCCCATCAGCAAATCTTTGATAGCGGTATATACCCTTTGTATTTTCAGCGGAAGGCCGTACCTTAAACCCTAAACGTCTCCTGAGTCCTCGGCGAACAAGTACTCGGCGCCGACGGCACGAAGTTTCCAGCTTGCACGCGATGCGAGCGCAGCTTCGAAACGGTCTCTAAGCTCTGAACCAGCTTCTGCTTTTGAAGCTTTCGAGCCTGTTTAAGGGTGGTTTAGGAATTAGGCATTTAGGGTGTGGGGTTCAGATTTGGAGTTTGCATCCTTGTTTTATTTGTGCATTTCGGGTCTAAGGCTTGAGGCTCTCTTGGAGTTGCTACACTCAGCACCCTAGGCCCCGACACGAAACAAAGATCAATCCGGATTTAGGCCTTGGCGTTGAGGATGCGGGATGATTTTGAGTACGGTTCAGGGTTCAGGGTTTGGCCATTGAGAGTGTGGTTGCTTCCTGCGGGGCATTCTTTTAGCATGCAGCTTTGTCACAGGCATCTGTGTGTGAGCACCATCGGAGTTCAACGAGGTTAGCATCTGCTACACGTCTTGATCTGTGCAGGGCGTCCTTTGGGCGACGTGCTCATCCCTGAAGCCGAAACGAATGACCTACAGACTCCGGACTCTACACCGTTAAGCCGCAGCTTCCCCAAAACCCCGAACTCTCCAGCTCTAACTCCCCGTCCCTACGTTCCTAACCGTAGATACCCTATGAAGCTCAACCCCCTGGCTGAAGTCCAGGTTCCTAGGCTTAGGTTCACTGCCCTATCTCTGCAGATCCCCGCAACCGAAACTCTACGGCCTTATCTTTCCGGAAGGTTCTCCTGACTGCTTGAAGAAACCACAGCTATTAGGCTACGATGCCCCTGCTCCAACAACAGGTCTTCGCAGCCTCAGTTACGCTCTTCCAGCAGACGTTTGTTTGCACTGCGAGATGCTCAAACCCAAAACCCTAAACTGGCCTTAGACCCTAAACCCCAAGCCCTGAAACCTAAACCCTAAACCCCAAGCCCCAAAGCCCTAAACCCTAAACCCTAAACCCCAAGCCCTAAAGCCCGAAACCCTAAAAAGCAAGCCCTAAAACCTAAGCCCTAAACCCCAAGCCCTAGAACCCGAAACCCTTAACCCCAAGCCCTAAAACCCTAAACCCTAAACCCAACCCCGGGACGAAACCCTAAAAACCATAAACCCTGGAGGGCTTGCTGCTCTGGGGCTGAGGGCTGGGCGAGTAGGGCCCAGGCTCTAGGATTGAGGCTCCGTGGTTTAGGGTTTTGGGTTTAGGATTTAGGGTCTAGGTTTTAGGATCTAAGATCGTGGTTTTAGGATTTGGGTTTAGGGTTTAGGGTGTAGGGTTTTGGTGACGATAAAGGAAGGTTCTGGGTGCAGTTCTTAAGACTTGAGGAGGAGTATCGGGAGGTCGGGGCAACCACGAAGATGAAGCCTATGCAAGCCTCAGTTCCTTGTCCCTGCAGCTAAAGGGTCCTAAACGCCGAAGCCCGCCCAGACAAATCCCAACTCCTTTCTGCTTGGTCTAGAGGTTTAGGGTTCAGGGTTTAGTTTAGCCAAAAGAAACAGCCCAAGCCCTAATCCCTCCTCCTTAAACTCTCCCAGCTCTTGGCCCTCCAATAGCCAACCTTCTAACTTATTCGCGGTGCTTTGCTTTGCTTTGATGTAAGAGTCCAGCGAGGGAACTATATGTCCAGGATTAGTATGGCCAGATGCGCGATTTTCATGGATCGTTAGCATAGCTTTCGTTCACCCATTTTTTTGCACTAAGACCAGGCGAGGGGGGTGTAGCATAGTACCCTGAACCCAAACCCCTTTGCCCTTGCGTGCGGCCCAAGCCGAAGACCCTCTTCCGTAAACGAAACCTTCGTAACTTAAAGTCCTTCAGTCGGTTTAGGGTGTATTGCAATGTAGCAGTCGGAATAAGTAGAAGTACTATCCCCGCAGCAGGATTACACTGCTGTACACCCCAACACAGGTCTTGACCAAGAGGCCCTACAGTACACTCACTAAATTATTTGGTCCCGTAGCTTATAAAGTCCCTAAACCTAATGGGAGAGTCTTAGCACAATAAAGGCAGGGGTCCTAAGTTTGCATTTAAACAAAGCTGTTTGTCAGCTTGTCTTTTGGCCTCTAGAACGCATACAAGCCCCTCAACTCAATAGAAATCCCCAAGTTCTTTTCAAAGCCAGAACCCCCTAGACCCCTACCGGAATCCTCATCGGAAGTCTGCCGGGAAGTCTTTAGGAGCCTAAAACGCTAAAAACAACCCTTAAAGAAAAAAAAACTTGCAGGAACCCGTTTCGATCCTTACAGCAACCCATAGAGAGGAGCCCTTAAAGGAACACCCTAAGCCCTCGACCCTTAAAAGAAGGTTAACCCTAAACCCTAAAGCCGTTAGGCCTAAACCCTAAAGCCCTTAGGCCTAAACCCTTGTAAACCCTAGGATCGTTGCTGGCGACGCATGGGGCCAAATCAACATTCCCCTCGTCGCCGCTCGTCGTTGTCCTGTTATCTTTTAAAGGCTTTAGGGATATGTGCTGTAGAGTTTAGGGTTCCGGGTTTAGGGAGTAGTAGTAGTAGTAGTAGTAGGTACTAGTAGTAGTAGTAGTAGTAGTAGTAGTAGTAGTAGTAGTAGTAGTAGTAGGAGTAGCAGTAGCAGCAGCAGTAGCAGTAGCAGTAGCAGTAGCAGTAGCAGTAGCAGTAGCAGTAGTGGTTGTTGTTGTTGTTGTTGTTGTTGTTGTTGTTGTTGTTGTAGCACCCCTCAGTTTTACTTTCGGCTCAGGGGTTTGTATAAGAATTTAGAGGCGTCTAGTGGTTCAAAAATGTTTAGGGCTCCTCTCCTCGCCGCTCTGCCTGGGCTTTAGAAAGGGATTTAGGGATTAGTTTTTTTTCAGTCGGTTTAGGCGTTTTTCGTGTTTGTGTTAAGGGTTTGGGTCTTTTGAAAGGCTTCAGCTTTTGTTGCTGGGGATTGGCGTTTTCCGAGGGTCCTCTACAAAGGCTCTAGACTCTAGAGGAATGTGGTCTAGGTTGTACTTTTTTGTTTGGTATCTGTTTATGCCTGTCAGAAGGAGTTATACGAGTTCTGTGTTTGCTGTCAAGGTCCAGGGTATAGGATTGCCAGCGGGTGTTTAGAGCTTGCCGGCCGTTTGACGTTTTGAGACTTCCAGGTGCTTTGGAGCTTTGCGTTTAGCGTTTCCAAGCACTCAACATTGGACTTAACCCTAATCCCTAAACTCTAAACCCCTGAACCCCTAAACCCTAAACTAGCGGTGTGTGAGATGTTGGGGCCTTTAAGGGTTTGAAAAGATGTGTGACATTGTTTGGGCGCTTATTGGAGCCTTTGGGGTTTTGCCGGGTGAGAGCAGGGTTTGGGGGTGTAGGGTGGAGAGTTTTGGGGCGTGGGCCTCATCTGTGGCACATTTTTGCCGGTGGATTCCTGTGACTTTAGGGCAGCAGGTTACCGGGGTGACTTTTCTGAAGGGACAGCTCGCTTCGCTTGTCGGTTGCGGCCCCCCTAAACCCGAAAACCCTGCACCTAGACCGCCTAAGACCCTAAACCCCAAGCCCACTGATACCAAGATCCCCTAACATTCGAACTCCTAGCCTCCTAAACCCCTTAAGCTCAAGACCCAAGCCAAAGTATTCCTGAACCCTTGAAATCTCACGCTGTTCACGACCCACGGTTTAGTCTAGGGTTAAGAGTCTCGGGCCTTAGGATTCTTTGAAGCTTTAGTCTAGGACATTTTCAGGTGGGTAGTTAAATTACCGTTATAGGAGCCTTATAGAAGGTCTATAATATACCTTATGGAAAGCGTATAGAAGCCCTATATACCCCAAACTCCCCACCTGTAGTTTCCTTCAATTTAGAGTACAGGGCTTAGGCTATAGGGTTTCGGGTTTAGGGTGCAGCACGCTCTTGCAGGAAGAGGCGCCGTGGCTGGTTCCAGTCGTCTACTTGGTCATGATTACCATCTCCTTGGGCATCATGAACCTGATCCTAGCGGCTCCTCGCCGGTCTGTTATATATGATCTTTCCACCCAAACCGTTACAAAGGATCTTTCCAGCCAAACCGCAAGTCCTAAACCTCCCAAACCCTGCACCCCAAACCTCGCGCCTTGATCCAAAACCGCAAAGCGCAAAGACTTTCAATGCCTTGCAGGGAAGCCAGCCTTGATTTCTGGAGTTTGAGGGTCAAGCGGGCTTAGGGCTTAGTGTTTAGGGTTTAGGGTTCAGGGTTTGGGGGTTTAGGGGTTTAGGGGTTTAGGGGTTTAGGGGTTTAGGGGTTTCGGGTTGAGGGCTTAGGGTTGAAAGTTAGTATATTGTAGCTCCAATCATTTCCGATACTTAAGGTTATGCAGGGCTTTTGTCCATCAGCCGAATACATAGGTGGGTTTCTGCTTTATGTAGGGTGGGGGCCGGGTGGCTGGGTGCATGCAGGGCTTATCACAGGATCTTCAACAGGGCTGCATGTTTTCAGGGTGTTATAGGGCTGGCGACTGGAGTAGACATACAGTCCTAAAAGTCCCGGACCGCTCTTAAGTTAGGATGCAGACGCCTAGGGCCTCGGGTCTTTTGCTGTAACAGGTAATTATTATCCAAATAGATTCGGCATGTCCTAAATCGCCGCAAGACAACCCCTACTCACGTTGTCTGATGATGGGTAGATGTCAGGAGACAGGTGCTAGAGTAGTCTGAGGCTTCTTTGATACATCTGAAACCACGACCAGAGTTGAGGGCACAGTTTGTAGCCCCCAGCAGCAGCAGCAGCAGCAACTTCTGCCTGCGGGGCGTCTTAAAACTTTTGTGGAACCAAGCAGACCCTAAACCCTTAAACCCTAAAACCTAAACCCAACCAAGCAGGGGAGAAACCGAAAGAAGAGCTCAGTGCTGGGTTGTTCCCATCAACCCTGGCGGTCATCTCTGAGGGTTCGTGAGGATGCGTACGGCTTTTCTGCGCTAGGGCTAGGGGTTCCCTTCAAGCTACCGGTTCTTCGTAGTTCCATCTTGCAACAAAAGAACCCTCATCCAGATAAGCCCCGCTTCAGGATTCCAGTGCCATGGTTTTGGGGCCTTTCCCCCTAGAACCCCAAAGCCTACATCATCCTACCTTAACTGACCAGAACCTACTTTTCAGTAGGGTCCCTATAAATCCCATATTAGGGTTTATAATGGGTTACGGTAAATCCTAGAAGCTTGCAATCGCTGAGAGGTCATCGTCGAACGAGCTTCCGAAGCTCGCGAGAACGACCATGATCAGAAGATCAAGAAGCAGCTTGGTCCTAAATCCCAAATCCCCTCCCAGATCTCCTGTGGAGTTTATTTGGTTTGCAATAACTCTAAAGTCGTGAATGCAATGCTGAAAGCAAAACGCAAGCCCTGAAAATAAGCACACGGGGCATAGGTTATATATGCTGTTTTCCAAGTACAACTCTGTTTTTTTTAAATATGTCCCCTGCAGTAGGGTCTCGTGCTTACGGTTCGGGATCTAGTGTGCAGGGATTTAGCTCTACGAGGGATCGGGTTCTTCCGTCTATGAGATTACGATGTCCGCGTTCAGGGTCCGGGGGTTCAGGATTCACTGTCCGGTGCTTAAGTACCAGGAAAATGGACCCCCAAAATAGTAGCTGTAATCGATAATCCCTTAGAGTATAGTAGTCCCCGTATTCCCGCCGTCGACTCCACCCTAAACCCTAAACCCCAAAATCCTGAACCCCCGTACGCACAGGTGGGTTTATGGTTCTTTGGCTTTCAGCTCCTGGCCTAGATCTTTTTGAACTCACCCGTTTCGAAGTCGTAGTTGGCCCCGGAAGGAGATCTCGACTTAGGATTTAGTTGAGGGTTTTGGGATTTCTTAGGTTCTGGATTTACGCTTTAGGATTTAGGAGCTATGTTTTTTTTTTTCCTTCTGGAAGCCTTATAGAAGCCCTATATACCCTAAACTTCCCACCTGTAGTTTCCTTTAACTTAGTGTTTGGAGCCTAGGGTTGTGTGAGTTCAGGCTGAAGACCAAGAAGCTCCAAACTACCCGAACACCCTCGACCCATAAACCCTAAACCCTAGAACCGTAACCCCTAAACCCTCAAGCCCTAAAGCTGTAGGTCCTACACCCTAAACCCTAAACCCTCAAGCCCTATAACTGTAGATCCTACACCTAAACCCTAAACCCTAAACCCTCAAGCGCTGAGCCAGAAGCTCTATGGCCTCGAGGAAGGATGAGGAGCGTGCCAAGAACATGGTGGAGCTGGCCGTGCTTTGTGCCAACTTAGACAAGGCAGGGCTCCTTTCTTAATGCCCGGGCCCCCTGAGTCAACTGAATGGTGTAGGATTTAGGTTGTAGGCACTAAGGTTAGGCCTAAACCCTGAAAAAGGCTTTGTTTTTTCGTCTGATAGGGCTCAAACTCCAGAGTCTGCTTGAAGCGTTTCGAGTTTAGGAAGATTCCCGCGCTTTTCAAAAAAGGACGGGCAGTATGTTCTGGTGCATCATCGTGAGATTTGCTGTTTCGCTCCACTACAGCAGCACCTACAGCCACGCTTAGGACCCTCAACCCATCCCCCCCCGGCAAGAAAGAAGAAGCAGGACCAGAGTGGAACCGTCTCCTTGGAAGAGATGCGACGGGGATATGACAACGTGGCAGCTCGGAGACATCCTTCTGAGGTTTAGGGCTTAGAATTCAATATAGAGGTCGGAATGAGTAACAACGGTATCCTCTTGTAGTCCCTATATATCGTTACTCGGTCACATAAAAATATACCCGCGAAGCCCGTTTCTCATTCATGCGGTAGCTTAAACTACTTACTACTTACTTTAAACTATATGAAGCTATACGGCCGGTAAACCTCTATCGACTGTCAACCCTATAGATCCCAGTGGAACCCTCTAAAACCCTTGTCCAGTTAATAAGGCCCCTACATCAGGGCTTGGCTGCCGGTATGAGGGGCTGAGGTCCCCATCCAAGTCTCTGAAGCTCCCGTCTGGTGTGTGTTGTCCTCGATTGTTCTGGGTTCAGGGTTTCAGGATTTAGGTTTTAGAGCTTCCCTTCAAAAGTCGAGAAATGGGAGAGGCAACACATCTCTAGAAAACCAGCAACTGTGAAGCTCCGTCCAGCGACGGCCCCAGAATTCAAGATGTAGGGTTCCGGACTTTCAACCCTAAACCCTAAACAGTCAACCTCAAACCCTAAACTCAAAATCCTAAACCCGAAACGATTTGCTCTGAACCCTAAACTGCAATCCCTAAACCCTACTCTATAAACCCTAACCATAAGCTCGAAGCTTAGAAGCGGCAATCTTTGGAGTTGTTGTTCGCAGGGGCAGCTGCGTCTAGCAAGGCAGCCTGGGATCTTAGATGGATACCGCCGATACCTCCGGACCCTGTAAAGGAACCCTGGTTTTCTCTATAGGAACCTTTACAGGAGCCCGGAAAGGAAACCTTAAAGCATTGGTTAGGCCTCAGGGATTAGAAGCCTCGGAAACAGGGTGACGAGGCATTGTATGGGTTTGGCGAAGCCGGAACTCTAAACGCCAACCCCTCAGCACTAAACTTATAGTATAAGGGTTCTATGGGCCAATAGATTAGGTACTGGGGTTCGGGATTGTAGTCATGGAGGCACGGGACTTTCCCAGGGAGAATTCAAGAAACCCTGAAGCCTTTAAGTCTAAACCCTAAAACCCTAAACCCTAAATCCCTAAGCCCAGGGAGAATTCAAGCGGCTTATGCAACACATGGACATCAAGAAAGACGAGATGGAGCTGATTTTCCGCGTGCTCGACGAGGCCGGCGGCCCTGCAGGGGGATCTTTGCGGGTTGAGGGTTTAAGGGTTTAGGAGTTTATTTAGGGTTTAGGGTTCAGGGTTTGTGGGTTTTGGGTCCAGGGGTTTAGGGTTCAGGATATGGCCCCCCTAAACTCTGTATCTTCCAACCAGAGATACGAAAGGCAGCCATTCCGGGTGGCTGCGAGGGATTGGGGTCGACACTAGTCGACATCTCATCGAGAAGCCGGAACCCAAGACCCTTTCCATAGGGCGCGGGCAGAAGCTCTTTTACCACAGATACTTTAGGGTTTTTTTAATATAAATGTACTATAAGGGAGCCCAAAACCCTAAACCCTAAACCCTGGGGTTTAGGGTACTTCATGCAACCTTACAAGCCGCCATCCGCAAGCCCCGAAGAGGGCAGTGCAAGGATGCCTGAGGCCAAAGCTTCACAATGTACGAACCGCCTAGGCCAGAACCTGCAACCGGCATCATCCCAGGGTACCTTTCATAGAGCCCTGATGCCTCTCGAGAATGATGGGTCTTTGGACTAGGAAAGGAACCCTCAACCCCAAACCTTAAACCGGAACCAGCCCTACAGCCAAGAAGAGCCCTAAAAACCCTAAACCCTAAACCCTAAACCCTAAACCCACCCCAGGACAAAGATGGCAACTTGTCCTACCTGGAGTTCTGCAAGAACCTGGGCAGCTTCTTCCGGCGTGACCCAGTGATCATGCACTCCCTCGTCCAGTGCCTTCGGTCCGGCTTTAGGGGGGTTTAGGGTTTAGGGTTTGGGGTTTAGGGTGTAGGGTTTACGGTTTAGGGTTTGGGGGTTTTCATAGGGTTTGAGGGAGTCGGGGATAGAAGTAGAGCGTGGGGTGTAGGGCTGCAGAAGTGCAGGGAACAGACTGCATAAATAGTTTAGGGTCCTATCATTATCATTGCATAACCTTTAAACAACCCTAAACCTTAAAGCGAAATCCCCAATACTGCAAACCAGCTAAACCTGTCTTCGGCACTGCAATCTCGCCATGAGACACCCTGAACCCTAAACCACAAATCCTAAACCCTAAACTGCTTGGTAAGGTGCTCGCTGGAGGAGCTGATGCTGGGCCCCGGAGTAATCGGTTACTTTTTCCTTCAAAGTTTGGAGTTTAGAGTTATTGTAGTACCGTAATAGCGTACGCTATTGCCTTCTGCATACCCCTAATTGTACCCGATTGGAGTACCCCAATTTAGCAGTTATCCGGTGAAGAGGTCTTGAATCCTTGCCTTCGACCCGAAACTCTATACTTTACATCTTCACGCGCCGCGCCCTAAGGAAGCAAGTGGTCAAGGAGGAAGTTGCACCTTGGACATGTGACATGTCAGTTTGGGGGTGTGACGCTAGACTTCCGAAGTAGGTCCGAAACCCTGAAAAAGCTCAGACCCTGAGCGATGCAAGAGGGAACAGCGTCCCAGAAAAATCAAGCGCCTAATCCCTACACCTTTAAACGACAAGTCAGGCTTGGGGGCCGCTCCAGAGCCCAACTAACCATCGACATCCCTGAGCCTTAAATCCGCCAGCTCATTTGCTTCTCAGCTCATCAACAGATCTGGCAGCTAGCCATGAGTCCAACACCCTAAGCCCTGAGCCGAACCCAGACCCACCCTCAGGCCAAACTAAGACCTAAACCCAAAGCCCGAAACCCTAAACCCTAAACCCTAAACCCTAAACCCTAAACCCCTAAACCCAAAGCCCGAAACCCTAAACCCCGGAACCCGAAACCTTAAGGCCCCAAAGGCCCTGAAAAGTGCAAAAAAGTGCCTAGCAGGTCGCCTGAAGCCCCACAAACCCTGGCCCTATGAGCCGAAAGCCCTAGGGGCCCCAAAAGCCCTAAGCCCTAAATCTCAACACCCCTATGAGCTCTAGGCCCTAAATCCCTACACCCCTATAAGCCCTAAGCCCTAAATCCCTACACCCCTATAAGCTCTAGGCCCTAAATCCCTAGGGGCCCGATAAGCCCCCTCAGATTTAGGTCGCCTTGATGAAGCAGCAGCATGCGGAGCTCATGGCCGGATTAGGGTTGACACCAGGCCCGGAACTCCCAAAAGCCCTTAAAGGAGCCCTGAAAGGAGCCTCTAAGGGATGTTAGAGGGTTCTATAGGACCGTTCGGGTTTAGGGTTGTATACGGGGCCTGTCTGAGGAAGAAACAAGGGTTCCATCAGGGTTCAAGCAAGGGGGTGCTTTGAGGGTTCTACAAATTATCTTTAAGGGATCTATGAGGGCTCTATACGGGACATATAAGGGCGACAAGTTTGCTACTACATAAGGACTCTTGCTGAGCTCTGGGTCTTAAGGATTTAGGGATTAGGGCTTCGGGCATGTGGGTATTGTTGGTGTTGGGGTTTAGGATTATGGGTGTTCTGATGCTAGAGCCGAAACTCGACACCCCAAACTAGTTATTTTTTTGGATTGGGTAGCACCAGGTAGTTCAATACAAGATATGCCGTATAGACGTCCTTGATGGTCGGTTTGACGCTGCTAGATGGCACAGCAGTTGTCCATGGAGACAAAAACCAAATAACTGGGCGGGGGATTGGGGATTCTTCATGAACGATTAACAGCTGCTCAACTGCTGCACCGTTTCGTGCGATAAGATTGCTGGGTCTCGTACTGTCATGAAGATCAGGAAGAGTCGAGTCATAGCTTTTGTTGTGGTTATCAATGTTATGACCATTGTTGTTATGGCTGTTACTACTCTTCTTGACTTAAATAGCTATGAGTTTAGCTTCAACCGTGTTTTTGCGACACCTGCAGCTCAAAGCCTGCTTGATAGATCCGGTAACCTGACCCCCGAAGCCTAAGCCCTCAACACGAAGGCCCCAGAGCCCTGAAGGAAAGATAGAACTAGTCTAAGCCCGGCTTTCATCTCGCACCCAATAGCAGATAGCGGCTTTGCCGTTGGGGTGCATGAGCTAAACACGGCTTGTTCTAGATTCCTAAATCCGACCTGGATGAAGGCCTGAACTGAACCCGGAATCAGGCAAGTGCTTCGGCGATGAGAAATCGCCCCCGACTCCTTCAGCATCTCCACTAGGCCTTTCGGACTATGAGCGTTTAGGGTTTAGGGCTGTCCAACTATTAAGTTTAGGCTTTTAGGGCTCAGAGTGATGGGCGGAGAGTAACAGCACAAGCGATTGCGCTAATGCGGTCAGTGGGGACAGAACAAGAGCTGATGCAGAACAAGAGAAAAGTGAGTGACAATGGTCAGAATGATGCTTGATCTTCCATGCAGCAAGAGCAAGAATGGGAAAACAGCTTAGCATGCGCTACATTGCCGCTACATATGAGTTGTGTAAACATCGTGCGCATTTGTAGCACACCACCCCACTCCACAAACATGCAGTTCTGTTGATGTTATGCAGCGATGGCAGCAGCGACAGAACGTGGAGCCATACACAGTGTTCAGGAAAAGCATAGTCGCAGCTGTAAGACTGGTAACACTATCATATGGCCGAAGAGGTAGCCGCAGCCGCAGCAGCAGTAGCCGTCGTCGTGGCAGTTTTCGTTTTCGTAGAGTAGTTGGCGTCGCCCTCGTGAAAGCAGAACACCCAAGAACATGTCACCTGCCAGCCCAAACGTAGCGGCAAAAACGAAATCCAAAGCGCAAGCAAGATGCATGGCAGGTTCATGAATGGACTGAGTAGAAGCTGACACGACTCCAACATAGGAGCCTGGCTTATTTAATATATTTTCCATAGGGCCGTAGGGACACCCAGTATGTGTTCATGTATGCTAATATACATGTACAGCAAACCCCACGAAATTGGTAGACAAAAGGATGACTGGCGATGATGTGCTCCATAAAGTGCTTTCGCTTGAGAGTAGTAGTTAGTGCTGGCAGACAGGTAGTGTGTAAGTAAGTCTAGCAAAGCATGTACGTATGCATGCATTCATTTATGTGTGTGTATCTACGTGTATGTATGTATGTATGTATGTATGTATATATATATATATATATATATATGTATTTATGTATGTATGTATGTATGTATGTATGTATGTAGGTAGGTAGGTATGTACGTATGTACGTATGTACGTATGTACGTATGTACGTATGTGTGTATGTGTGTATGTGTGCATCTGTGTATGTGTGTATGTGTGTATGTGTGTATGTGTGTGTGTGTGCGTATGTGTGTATGTGTATGTATGTATGTATGTATGTATGTATGTATGTATGTATGTAGGTATGTATGTATGTATGTATGTATGTAAGTAGTTATGTATGTATGTAT